ATATATATATATATATATATATATATATATATATTTTAAGTCAGTGGAAATCGCTGCATTAATGTTACATTATCAATAAGACTATAGGAACAAAGCAATGCAGCGAAATCAATGAGAAACCGAAACTCGAATGGTTTGGTCCTTTATTAGGAATGTAGACAGAACAACTACCCACGCAGGCGCCACACGTAAAGAGACCCGAAGTGATAGCAAGAGGTCGCCCTGTGAGAAATGGATTGATGGCATTAAAGATCTTGTAACATTGACATGGAATGACAATAGCCAATGCTGCCCATCAAGCGATAGATCGCAAACTGGTCCTCCCCACAATGAGTAACGGCAGAAGTGGACAATGATTATTATAATGATGATGATGAAAAAGAAGCCGCCTTCGAAAAAGGTCTAATTATAGGAAGGGCGGGGGGGGGGGGGGCAGAAACCCTTAAAAGGAATTTGTTGGCAAGGGGAAAGGGGGGGGGGCAGAATGGACATTAGCTCCCAGGTTCCAGCGCTTAAGCTGTTAATAGGTTAGTTGCGTATCCTTTACAGGACGTTGCAGAACCAACCTAAACAGCCCCTGGCTATTGTGTGGTTTTTCTAGGCAAATTTACGTCCAGTAGTTTGCCATTGCCCCTGGACGGTCGGCTTTCTTTAATCCACTGTCGAAACCAACGCAAGGCCCATCGCCCGCAGCTGGGATCGAACCCGGTACCCCGGCATTACGAAGCGTTTAGCTGTTAAGGCGACAGAAAAAAAAAAAACAAGTCGCGGTTCATTACACAGAAGTCGGTAAACTGACAAAAACAATGAGGAGTGCCTGCATCCTTGACCCTGAGCATACATCTCAGACGGTGTCAAAACACAAACAAGACAAGAACGAAGCAAACAGAACGCTATAAACAGGCGGGCCAATACATGGTAAACACAAAGGATCCGAATGATCTTCACAGGCTACTCGACTGGTGTCGGCGATAAGTATTCTACACCAGCAATTCTCAAACTGGGTGCCACGGTACCTTGGCGTGCCGCGAGCGTATGCGAGGAGTGCCGCGGCAATTCTAAAAAATGCATTCCGTTTCCTTCATCGCATTAAAGACAACAAACATTAACTATGCAGTTTTTGTTTCTTCATTTCCTAAGTATTCAAACCGCTTTTAAAGTAGCTGTGCAAAAATTTTGCCCGACAAGGGGCTGCTGCAAAAGAATCTGAGAACCGCTGTTCTACAAAACACCTCTACCTAGTTCCCAGCAAGCAACTGATACACTGTGACACTGTCTGAACGGTCCAGTAAAGTAAAGCAAGTTAACTCTTTCATTGCAAAGGACAGTATAATTAGGCATAAATCAGCGTATGATGCGTTTCATGGAAACCGAAGAGCTAAGTAAAGACTCTTTCTGCGCCAGTATAGCATCGGGCAAATGATGCTAAAGTCAAAAATGTTGTAGATTAATCGACGCTCTGTGGTTAACATCACATCAGCTGCCTTTACTTCCCATTACATTTGTGGTACCGATTTTACGCTTGATCTATTCTAGGAACTATGGTCAATATTTAAAAAAAAAAAATCGGACAAGATGAAGATTTGAACCCTGAACGACAGGCGAGCGTATAGCTATTATTCTTCTACGCATCACTAGGGTTTATGGTTAAAAAAATGGAGGACAAAATATAGGGCCTAATGGTAACAGATCCAGAGGTCGACCACGTAGAATATGGACAGCAGAAATAACAGGGACTCGGAAACGTACTTTATACGAAGCGAATAGAAGGACCCGTTCCAGGGATCACTTCCTTCCATGACACTGCGAGGCATTCAAGGAATAGAAAATAGCAGAAACAGGCATTCATCGAGACATTACTCATCTACGGCTCAGTAGGGTATATATTCATAATGATCAAGTGCCTTGCCAGCTGGCGTAGACGATCATACATTTCCACAGATCTCGGTCTTCGGTGTTCTGGATCAGTTCCACTGATGACAAAACTCAGATTCACCATTATTTCTCTTGGTCTAGCTCTGCCTCTTCTACCAGGGATCTTTTTAGTCGTCGCGATATTTTGCTGTGCTTCTTTTCTCATCACATGACACACAAAAATGTGTTTGTCTCCTTCTCTTTGTTGTGTATAATGTTATACTTTTATTAGCATGTACAAGACATTCATTGTTAGTTATTCTGGCAGTCCAAGTTAAAGGCATTTAGTGCTTGCTATAGTTCGTTCAACAACTCATAAACACACTTGCAGGCGATTTTATAGAAAACTGTCTGCTAGATTGCAATGATTTTTTTTTGTCTGCAGCTTTAGAATACCAACGTCGCAAAAAAGAGGTTTCTTTAGTCCTTAGATCATAGGATGCTAAATATCAGCCAATTCCTGTGATCTTTTCAAACCACTGTAAATAAGTAAAGTGAACTATTACATTTTGCAGTAAACATTTTAATTTCGCGTTCTATTTTTTTTCAGAGGTGTGTCTTTATAATGCATTGATAGGTGAAGACAATATAGTTCTTTTTTTTTTTAATGCTTAACTGAGCTGAGTTGAGCTGAGTCAAGAAAGACATCACAGCACTCAGGGCATTTACATATGCGATTCGTCCTCGTCTTCAGCAGCCAGCGCTGAGTTGCAATACTAATGTTACTGGACGCGGTCTGATTATATGTTATCTTGCCTTTCCTCTAAGCTTAGTGCACCGGCCAGGCCTTCTGGTCACACCCAGGTGTATCATTATCTCCTGGCCATGAAAATGTATTTTCTCCGCTGACTTAGTTACTTGTTCCCAGAGGGCCTTGACCACATCTGCCTTGTCATGTATCAATTCACCACCCAGTGAAGCAGATCCAGCCAATCTGTCTGCCTTGTTCAGTTGTAAACATGTCCCCAATACGCAACAGTTAGTATTCCCCTTCGGTATCTTAACTGTATTATAGCTGACACATTTGGATATGAAATGTATTTGTTGCGATTGTAGATGTACCTGACGGGTGGATGATATTCAACCACTCATAAAAAATGGTTTTAAACATTCCCAATTTGACGATATAAAAAAGCTGAAAATTTTTAGTGGCTGAACAAATCGTAATCCATCTCGGTGCCAGTACTCGTCTTCCTCTAGGAGCATATGTTCAAAAAGAGTTTTTCCAGGAACTAGTGTCTATTGTTGAGAGGGACTCACGTGTCAGAACTTCAACATCACACATTTTAAATGACCTGTTCTTTTAAGCAACATGTTTTTTTACTTTAGCCCCAACAAGCTCTATCAAGTTGAGGTGTGAATGATATGCAGGGAGTCGCAGAGAAATGTGGCCGTATTCACTAATGATTTTGTCAGTGTGATCCACTTTTGTCTTTTTTGTTAGCCTCACAAGCTGCAACAACTCTGCCTTCGAATCTGTGTCGTTAAAGCTGACTTTCTCCTTAACAAGCCATGTCCTAATTTGATCTTTTGTATTTAATGTAGCTGGTACTTTGTCTTCCTCCGATACGACATTATGATAGGCGGCTTTATAGATTACTAGGCATGATGGTCTGTCCAGAACTTGGAGAAGATCATTCTCCCTTCAGTGACTGAAAATGTATCCTTTCATTTCAGTGTCGTAGTCCCTACAGTTCGTAATTTTTGATTGGAAAATAAGTCCAGCCTCACGAATAAGGCCTTTTTCACTTCTTCCTGCATAATGCGCTGGCATTTGCTGCTTGGAATATTTCTAGTCTGTTCACCGTTTATTGACTGTCATTCTTTACCATGGGTTTGGTGAGCATTAACACAGGATTCATTCAAATATGCAATATCATAGTCTTGCAGCCGTCGCTCACAGATTTGCTTCAGATATTTGCTTCGACTAGCAATCAAACGTGGCTTTACACAAATAATATTCCTTCAACCTACAGTTTTCCTGAAAGAGAACCCAGTGGCTCTTACTATTTTCCACAGACTACTTTTTGAAATGTCAATACTGCATTGTGATTTCAATGTTAATTTCAGTTTTCGGAAAGTAGCAAGTTGATTTGTCTCTAAGATTTTTTAAGATCTCACGTCTAACGACATCTAAATCAAAGTCGTCAACTTTCCTTTTTCTTCATTGCTTGACATGAGCTTACTTTGTGTCCTGCCTTATCCAATAGTTAAATGGTGTTCTTTTCAGACCAAGAGCATATCGTGTTCGTTTCTCCTGGTCATTATTATCACAGTATAAATGACCATCTTAGATTCTGCATAATTATACATTTTCATATTAAATTCATTCTGAAAATGATGTCTTTGTCAGCTTTTATAAGCTAGCTATATAACGCAAAAACCCAACACTAATTTGTGGATGCGCCTTTGACTAAACAACCTTGACCGACGTCTTATTTTGGCTTCTGGTCAATAAAAGTTTGACTTTGCATGAGAAAATCTTGAAATTGCGTAGGTTTTTTATGATCCCTGTTAAAACAGACATAGTGTGCATTAATTCCTGAAACTAATGAGAGTAAACCTTCTAAAAGTCTACCAAGAGGGCTTCATGGTAAAAATATATCAACTAGACGCTCGTCTGCCTACATGAAGATCTAGGATTCAAAACTGCATGGATTTCGAGGCTTTAAATTCGACACTGACTTCCGTATCTGTAAAGGGCAAAGAACCCTTTTGCCCGCTTTTCAGACGTTTTTGGTATTTAGAGCTAGACCTCATATTTTATATCATACCGGTCACCTTTACTTCCCATGATTTTACCTGGTATACATTTAAGGCTGAGACGACCTGGGAGCCAAATTTTTGAAAAAGTCCGACGCCATCAGGACCTGAAACGAAGACCTTCGAATCCTCATCCGAGCATCACACAGAGACTTACAGACAAAATGGCAGAGGAACGAAAAGATGGCCAGATAAACAGATATACAACGAACAGAAGCATAGACAGAGGTATGTATGGATGAGATTACAAAAACAGAAGAGAGGCAGGCAGGCAAACAGACAGGCAGATAACTAGAAAGACTGATAGACAGTGACGTACTTACAAACAGTTTGAGATGGCGTGCACACACCAGACCGTCGCCTCCATTATTCCCAGGGCCACAGCACACTAGCACGGCCGCGTGGTCCTTCTTAAGTTTCTCCGGCGGGTAGCACTGGGGAGGATAAAGACGGTAAAGTAAATAAATGCCTTGTTGCCTTGTTCTTAGTGCACTTGTATCCATGGCGAGGCTCAGATGCCGTCTGGGGTGACAGTTTCAATTCCCTGCACGGTAACTAGTTTTTATAAGGAGTAGAAAATTATAGGGAAGAGAAAAAGTTGGTAAGAAACAACAATTAGTTTATGTTAGCTTTACAAAATCGATCACAATAAACAAACAAAGGACGTTGCGGCGATTAGCCTTCATCAGCACATAAAGGAGAACACAGTACACATACACAAATAGGCTCTAACTATGAAGTGACTACATAGGACTCTAATGTATAGAAAAAATGATACTCATCTAGTGTCCCTGGCGAAAAAACTTCGTTCAATGAAATGACGGTCAGCCTATATACCTCCAACGCGCAGGTAGGAGCAAAAAAAAAGGGACGGGTTTGACGCCAACAGCGTACACTGAGTGTCTAAGAAGGGAGGGAGGGGTTGGCCTATAGGCGTAACCGGGGTTGGGTTGTGAACTATAGCTTTCGATTTTATGTTGTCAAGTGTATTCTTCTACCTTTCTACTTCTTTCTATGAGTGTCAATCAATACACTTTCTCTTACTTGATTAATTCGGTAAAGTAAAGGAAGACTTGATCTTTCTGTAGCTTCTCTGAGGGATAGTACCTAATGAGCTAAATGCAGCAAATTATAGGACTCCTTTCTGAAGGCAAACTCATCGTAAGACAAGTGCAGTAAGCTAGAGAAATCCTTTCCAAAGGAAAGCCCTGTGAAAGACAAGTGCAGTAAGCTAGAGAAATCCTTTCCAAAGGGAAGTCTTGTGAAAGACTAGTGCAGTAAGCTAGAGAAATCCTTTCCAAAGGGAAGCCTTGTGAAAGACAAGTGCAGTAAGCTAGAGAAATCCTTTCCAAAGGGAAGCCTTGTGAAAGACAAGTGCAGTAAGCTAGAGAAATCCTTTCCAAAGGGAAGCCTTGTGAAAGACAAGTAAAGTAAGCTAGAGAAATCCTTTCGAAAGGGAAGCCTTGTGAAAGACAAGTAAAGTAAGCTAGAGGAAGACTTTCTGAAGTTAAGCTTGGGAAAGACAAGTGCAGTAAGCTAGAGAAATCCTTTCCAAAGGGAAGCTCTGGGAAAGACAAGTAAAGTGAGCTAGAGGAAGACTTTCTGAAGGTAAGCGTGGGAAAGACAAGTGCAGTAAGCTAGAGAAATCCTTTCCAAAGGGAAGCCTTGTGAAAGACAGTAAGCTAGAGGAAGACTTTATGGAGGTAAGCGTGGGAAAGACAAGTGCAGTAAGCTAGAGAAATCCTTTCCAAAGGGAAGCCCTGTGAAAGACAAGTAAAGTAAGCTAGAGGAAGACTTTATGAAGGTAAGCGTGGGAAAGACAAGTGCTGTAAGCTAGAGAAATCCTTTCCAAAGGGAAGCCCTGGGAAAGACAAGTAAAGCAAGCTAGAGGAAGACTTTATGAAGGTAAGCGTGTGAAAAACAAGTGCTGTAAGCTAGAGAAATCCTTTCCAAAGGGAAGCCCTGGGAAAGACAAGTAAAGTAAGCTAGAGGAAGACTTTATGAAGGTAAGCGTGGGAAAGACAAGTGCTGTAAGCTAGCGGAAGATTTTCTGAAGGGAAGCCTTTATCAAGACAAGTGTAGTAAACTAGAGGAACATTTTCTCCACAGTCAGCCTGTGAAAAAGAAGTGCCCTGAAGTAGGAAAAGCTTCTTTCTGTCTTAACGGAATAGTCCATCACGAAATATTTCTACGATTCTTCATAATAATTAGTGTGGGAAGCTTGCCTCGAGTTGACCATGTACATATTATGACCCTCACACACACACACACACACAAAAAACACGACAAACTGTGTTCAGTGTACACATACATCCTTATTTTTTATGAGCGGTTAGGCGAGCTGAGTTCTCAAGTGGGTAACCCATCTTCGAATCCTATATAAGATTTTTTTTTTCTAATGTCAAAGAAAAAGTTAAAGTTTAACCTGCACATTACATGGCGAAAGGAATAGTCAGGCGGCCCTAAATCTACAAGTCCCAGACAATAAATACATACCATAATTATATACATACATTACATAGAATACATAATACATACACACCCACGCAGACAGAGACAGACAGACAGACAGACAGACAGACAGACAAACACACACACACACTCATACAGACAGACAGACAGACAGACAGACAGACAGACAGACAGACAGACAGACAGACAGACAGACAGACAGACAGACAGACAGACAGACGGACGGATGGACGGACAGACGGACGGACAGACAGACAGACATACCCTAGCTATAGCAACAGCACAGCTGTACCCAGAAAGCTCAGTCAGCTGATCCAGACTAAAGAGATATTCATTGGCCAGCTCCTGTTCCATCTGCAGGGCCTCTTCTTGGCTGCAAAGAGATGATATATGTGTGTCAACGTTACATTTCTTGTCAGGATTGTTGCACTTATCTTTGAGGTTATGTTTCTGTATGGAATTGTTGTTTTTCTCTTTGCGATAGTTGTATTTCTCTTTGTAATTGTCGCATTTCTGTTTGGGATTGATGTATTTCTCTTTGGTATTGTTGTATTTGTCTTTGCAATTGTTGTATTTCCCTTATCCAAAGTCATTTTTGTAAGTGCATTTTTTTTTCTAAGACCTTTTGTTCTTCTTATTTTTTTTCTTTTTCTTCTTATTTTTCTTCTTCTTCTTCTTCTTCTTCTTCTTCTTCTTCTTCTTCTTCTTCTTCTTCTTCTTCTTCTTCTTCTTCTTCTTCTTCTTCTTCTTCTTCTTCTTCTTCTTCTTCTTCTTCTTCTTCTTCTTCTTTTTCTTCTTCTTCTTCTTCTTCTTTTTCTTCTTCCTCCTCTTCTTCTTCTTCCTCCTCTTCTTCTTTTTCTTCTTCCTCTTCTTCTTCTTCTTTTTCTTCTTCTTCCTCCTCCTCTTCTTCTTCTTCTTCCTTCTTCTTCTTCTTCTTCTTCTTCTTCTTCTTCTTCTTCTTCTTCTTCTTCTTCTTCTTCTTCTTCTTCTTCTTCTTCTTCTTCCTCCTCCTCTTCTTCTTCTTCTTCTTCTTCTTCTTCTTCTTCTTCTTCTTCTTCTTCTTCTTCTTCTTCTTCTTCTTCTTCTTCTTCTTCTTCTTCTTCTTCTTCTTCTTCTTTTTCTTCTTCTTCTTCTTCTTCTTCTTCTTCTTCTTCTTCTTCTTCTTCTTCTTCTTTTTCTTCTTCTTTCTTCTTCTTCTTCTTCTTCTTCTTCTTCTTCTTCTTCTTCTTCTTCTTCTTCTTCTTCTTCTTCTTCTTCTTCTTCTTCTTCTTCTTCTTCTTCTTCTTCTTCTTCTTCTTCTTTTTCTTTTGCTGCTGCTGCTGCTTCAACTACTTATTCTTTAATAATTTTTCGTGTTTCTTAATAAGAAAAAATAATTTCATAATTATTGTAATAATAATACTAATTAATATTATAGCATGATAAATGTCACAACACATGATTTAAACGTGGGATGACCAACGTGTCTACTAATCAAGAGTAAAACGGCGCCCCTGGTGGATTGTGTAATAAATGTCTGCTGGGAAATTTCACTTCGTTATCTGAGGCCCTCGAGCAGATCTAGTCTTCAAAATACACTGCCAATGATTCATGAAATGAGGACCAGTCTTCAGTCATAAAAAGGCTGGCAATCAGTAATCCTAAACAATGGTTTTCAACCTATTTTCAGGAATCACCCCTTTAGTATATGGCAAAGTCCAGCCCCACCCCTTCTGGACCCTCTTCCAACCCCACCCCTTTCCGCTTTGTAAAACAAACATGTATTTAAAAAGAGGAGGACAGAAAAGAAAACACTAAGCACTATTATTAAGAAAAGTGGGTACAATTAAGTTTTCTGGCTCAGCTCGCCCATTTACACACTGAGAAGTGTTTCATTCATACTGGATCAGCGAAGTCGACTTCTGCAAAGGTAGGAGGGATTTCGGCGTGGCTGTGTCCGATCGGCGACATTTTATGACACACATTTACGACTTTAGGACATCCAGAACTTAGTCTCCCGTGACGAAACTTCTATACTACAGCAAGTTAATGATTTTAACGACTGCATAAAATCCGCTATTGGGCCTAACCCAAACCCCTAGGTCCCACGAGACAGTGCATTCTAAGTGTCGCTGCTCACACGGAACTCTATCCCCTGCAGTAAACTTTCTGTTGTCAGCGCTGATAACGCCAGCAGATTCATTTTGTAGTTGTTGAATTCCCCAAAACACAATATCCGCAGTTATGAGAGACTAGCTACTACACACTAATACAGAATATAACTTCCTGCGTTCTAAAATATACACAAGAAAGACCTCTGTCACCCCTGACACTTCCAGTTCAGCATCTGACAGCTTAAAAGTAAAAAGTAAACAAAAGTAGGCGTATAGGGCATATAGGGCTAGATCTAAATTTTATAGACTAATCGACACAAGATGGGTGACGTAGTCAGCATCACGCCGGTCGCCTCTACTTTCCGGGGTTGCACCCGGTACCACTCAAGGCTGGATTGACCTGGGAGTCTAGCCGCTCCGCCACGGTGACTTTGACAGCTTAAGGCGGAGACTAAACGTCCAAATCACAGTATCCTGTCCCGCCTCCGTAATTCATACCCTTTTCACGCCTTTTTTGCGTACTGAGCATAGGGGCTAGACCTATATTTTATAGACCGATCGGCACTCGGTGGCCGACTTTACTTCCCAGGACTCTACCTGGTACACACTGAAGGATGGATGGACCTAGGAGCCAAGGTCATTTCTGACAAAAATGTCCTGAATTGGCAGGACACAAACCCACGACCTTCAGATGGGCAGGCCAGCGTCTAGCCGCTACACCACGGCGGCTCCCTAAACAGGTGTGGAATTTGCTGTAGTTATGCCTCAGAGCCTCAGTGATGCAGCACCTTTCCTACAAATCGTCTGTTGTAATGACGAAACTATTTCACGCGAAAGAACAAATGTCAGCCCAATAGGGGACGCAATGTTTCTTCAAACTCCCATTTTAGCTGTCGTCAGGGGCAATAATAAGATCTAATTTTTGAACGGAATTTTTGGGACTCGTACCCGGTGGGTTCTCATCCGAATGGTGGCTCTTTGTGTCACCAGATGGTAATCGCTTGTCGTGCGGTCCTTGTGGGGTTGAGCGTCACTCACAGACTCACTCATGCGGAAGATTTCGTTAATCGTCATAACTGTGGAATTTGGGGTTCACAGCCACCGAGGGAGATAAACGTGGGTTAACAAAGGTGAACGTCTGGGGCGGACTGCTGTATGATGTTATCTTTAGTTGCATCTTCAGTTCAAGTTTTGAACAACAGACCAACATCATGGCACACGGGTTAAGTGCTCGGTTCTTCTTCTAACTCAAGTCTGAATCTGAAGAAGCTCAGCACAGTGCACAGGCTCTGTAGCACCAGCGAGGATCCTGAAATGCTTCACGTAGATTTTTAACTCCAAATTTTCGCCCGGGTAGCGCGTTAGATTACTCTTTTTGATTTCCAACAGCCAAAGGATTTTTTTACGTGCGCAGCAATACACACTGCCGTCTGATCTCACTACCCAGAGAAAAAGGGGCAATTACTAAAAGTCCAAGTCCACGTGCAAAGATCCCAGTCCTTACTGGGGATTGAACCCGAAACCTCAAACACCCGAGGCGGACACCATGCCTTGAGACCACGCAGCCCGCTCCTCGCCGCCTCCTGTCCCAATTTTCAAATAAACACCATTACTGAACAAGTGTACCTCCTTGACAAGCTTCAACAATACATGTGTCAAGGAATGAACCGCCACTACACATAGTAGACGAGTCGGGACCTGGTATTCCCCCCCCCCCCCTCTCCCCCCCCCCCCCCCCCCCCCGCTCGGCAAAAATTTCAAACTTGGACCCGTCCGGAAAAGTATATAGTCCCTTATATTGATCTATACCTTTATCGGATAAAATAGTAATTTCTAGACCTTCTGGTTGCTTTGACTTATCGTCATTTTCAAATTTGCAACTGTAGGTTGACGATTTCTAGGGTTTTATTTAAATACTCCTGGAAACCGGTTTACTCCTTGCTCATGTATACAAGGAACTTCTTTCTACTGAGATCAGATGTGTTCATCGGCGCCTCGTAAATTTATACTTTGAGAAGGCGGCCTGTAGTGTCTAGGACATTTCCTAAGCTTGGGATGAAACCTCTGTAGAGAGCGGGCAGATCAATCACAGTCCTACCAACAACTGCCAACCAACCACCAGCTAACACCAGTGAATGTACCTGGCATTAACATGTCGTGCCCTATACGCCACTACTTTAACATAGCCAGAGTGTGTGTGTGAGCTCCAGGGCGAGTGAACATTTGCGGAGATTGTGTAAGAATCAAGTGTACCAGTCTTCAGGAGCTTGGTTAAGCTCCGAGGCAGCTTTGTGACCTGACCTGTGGGAGAGACTTGCTGAGTCCCTATACAGTTTCTGTGTCCTCGACGGTGGGGCACTCCTCTGTAACCAGATCAACTTGAGGCAGAGCTGCCAGAGTCAACTACAGTCGAATCACCATGGACTGATGGGAGCATCAACTTAGGAACTTTGATAAGTGACAGTTTTGTTTCAATATCATGCTCTATTCCCCACAGCTCCACATATTCCGGTGATGACATTGAGATTCTCTTCTAGACGATCTGGCTGTTTCAATCTCGGAGTTCTGATTATATGAACATTCTGGAACATTATTCTTCTATTTGTGTAAATAATGTGTACTTATTACATACATTCATTTTCATGGCCGACTAAGGTGTCTCTATTTCACCTTTCTAATTGTTTAGCATTGATGTGTTTATGAATAATAAGTGTTATATGTGTTAACATGGTTATGATAGTAGCCTATCATAACCTGGGGGCTATCTTTTTATAGTAGTGGGGGTGTCCAGCCAAGTGTGTCTAGGAATATATATATATATATATATATATATATATATATATATATATATATATATATATATATATATATATATTGTAGTGCCAAAACTTGAGTTGCCCTACTCCAGAAATAAGTTGAGCGTATATTGGCCACGGGGCATCCCTTAGACCAATACGAGCCAAACGACTCAACATAATTATTTCTGAGTGCTGTTGGTTTTTAAGGAGAAATTCTTAAATCAGGCACGTGACAGGAGTGATATGTGACAACATGTTTCTACAACTTGAAGATTGCAAACATTCAATACAGAGCAGAGTTACTTTCATGCCCGATAGGGCTTCCTCCCAATCTTAAATGAGGGATTTTTCCCAAAGGGGTTCTAGGGCTCTATTATAGGGGACACAAGAATAGACCCATTGCCTACCCGAAAGCATGTTGTAAGAGTCGAATAACTGGGAGCTTCCATTGAAGAAGAAGAAATGAGAGATTTCAAAATGCA